GGGGGCTCGGTGCTTCACCCACTCCCAGCTCCCTGCCCCTGGCTGGGGCCCCACAACAATGGGTGAGTCCCAGCCCTGACTCCCTGGGCTGCACCCAGGCTCTGCCTTCACCCCAGTGCCAGGGGTGCGAGATGGCAGCTTGCACCCACCGGCAGGGCTTGTGTGGTCTTCATCTGGGTGGACCACAGCCCATTGCAAATGGATGAGGCTTTTTACTGGTCCTCCTGCTGCTGAGAGCATCCCTGGGAGAACCACGCGTGATCCAGCCAGCACCTGGCCATCTCCTGCCCACACACAGCCCACACCAGCCAGGGGAGCAAGGTCACCCACCCAGCAAGCTCCCAGCAGCAGCTCCTACACCCAGCCCAAACCCTTGGGGACCTTCCTCTTCCTGGCGCCCAGGACGTGACCAGATGCAGGGATGTCCTTCCCTGTCGTGATCCTGCTCACACTGGGGATGAAACAAAAGGAGGAAACGCGGAGACGGAGACGGATACCCACGAGCATCCTCAGCTGCCTCCAGGACAGCCCCGATCACTGCTGCCCCCAGGACAGCCCCGATCATGCTGCCTGGGACTGTCCCCTTCTACTAAGGACCAGTAGCAGTGACACCCCCGAGGCCACAGACCTGCCACCTCTGACCTTGCACAGTCTCTCCTGGCAATCCCCACTGGAAAAGGCTTTCGACCTTCTCCCACTCAGGCATCACCACTGTTAGCTCAGCAGCTCCCCAGCCAGCACCAGCCCTGCCTGACCCCCATCATCCCCCCCGGCGGGATGCGAGGCCCCTCGTCTGCTGGGAACACCGTCACCGAGCTGCCCCGGGGGTTCCCAGCCTCCCCGCTGTTTATTTTCCCTTTGCAAAGAGCCTCTAAAATAGCAAGTTTAAAAAAATATATATGTTCAAGAATAATAAAAAATCGAGCCTGCCCTGGCTTGGATCTGTCGGTGAGAGCTGGTAAAATAAACACACAGAGCAGGACAGGGGCTCCGGGGAGTAATTAGTCTGGAGCAGGGGAGCCTTGGGGACCTTCTCCCTGTTTTATATCGGGGCAGGGGGGTGCAAAGAGAGGTAAGGTTTGAGGAGCGAGGTCACTGAACCTGACAGAGCTGCACATTTCCCACCACGGGGGCAGCCAGGATGGGCCAGAGCACGTCAGTGGGGTCTGGAGCACAGCATGGGGCCAACCTTTCGGTTCCTCCCAGCTGGGGTCTCCAAGCCCGGCTATCGCTGCCCACTCAGTGCAGCCACGTTTGGGGTACGCTGGCCACCACTCTGCGGTCACGGGGCTCAGCAGAGCCCAGAGATGAGATTTCCAGAGCCTGGTGCGAGTGTCTGACGTGGCTCAGCTTGGTCACCAACTCCCTGCCTCAGTTTCCCTTGTGCACCAGGACAGTCCCTTGCTCTGCCCCAGCACTAACTGGCCCATGAGCCCCATGGGGCCATCTCCGGCAGGATGACATGGCACAGCCTCAGTGCCAGGGGAGCCAGCTGGCACAAGGGGACCCCCCACAGCTCAGGGCAGAACACTTATGGGGGGAGACTCACCCCTGGGTCCTTCCCCTTCTGAAAACACTCCTCTGTTTGCCCAGGGAGGGGTGGCCAGTAGATCTGAAACACAAAGGACCAGTTGGAGGGACCCAGCCTTGCAAATACACATCCCCAGGCTGCCAGCGGCATGGTGATGGAGAAAGGGACCAGGAGAGGGACCAACAGCTCCCCAGAGCCCACCCAGCCCAGGGCTCCCACCCTGTGACCCAGAGCAGGACCCTTCCTCCTGGGGAGATGCACCCCAGTGGTCAGATCCAGGCTGGATTTGGGTGGTCACACTGGGGATGGCCGGAGCTGGCCTGGATGGGGGTGGACTTGTGGGTGGCGTGGGGAAAGGGTGCTGGGGGACAGCAGGAAACGGTGGAGCCCAAGACCCCCAGCAGCCTTCAGCGGCTCTCGGACCAAGGGCAGCTTGGGTACACAAGCCCCTGACCCCGTCGTGGTGACCCAGCACACAGAGGGGCACTTCATTTCCTTCTCTGCTTTCTTCAGCTAGAAATGGCCCAGAGCCACGTTTGAAAAACAAGAAGTCAAAGTGGAGAGGGTGAAGGAGGAGGGGAACCACCGCTCAGCATTGTCACCCTGGTCTGTCACCTCTCCCACCAAGGAGCCAGGAGAGGTCTGGGGGCTTTGCCAGCTGAGCCCTGGCACAGCTCGTTGCAATGATGGATGCTTTCAGCTCCTTGTCTCTGCAGGCGTTCAGCTGTGTGTTCGGGCTGTGAAGGGGATGCCTGGGTGGGGATGGGGAGCACTCACTCTCCCGTTGGCAGCTTTTTAGGAGAGCAGAGTGCGAGACCCCACTCAGCACCCAGGACTTGCAGGTGGGCTGTGCCACTGGGTCCAGCCATGACTAATTGCTGGCTAATTGCCCGGCAGCCACCATGGCCAGCCCTCCCTTGCCACGTAGCACATGTTTTCAGATGCATTTCAAGACACTTGGGTGGGGACATCCCCAGGGCAGGTCTTGCTCAGGGTGGCTTTGCCTGGCTCAGTCAGGCACCATCTGCTCAGAGGGGCGAGGGGTGCAGAGGGGCCAGGGTGGGGATGGAGACCTCGGGGTGCTCATCAGGACCAGACTCACCTCCTTGGCGTCCGCACTGGCCCTGTCCAGGAGCAGGGAGTAGAGCACATCCTTCCCCCCGATGAAGAGCCGGTCACGGTACTCATCCAGGTAGAGGGAGCGGAAGCCCAGGAAGCCTTGGTGGCCAAAGAAGAGGACGGAGCGGTTGGTGCCCAAAAGCTCTGCCAGGGAGGGAGGGAAACATCAGAAGCAGCTATCCCAGCCCCAGAGAGCCCCAGGGCACTGTAAGCACCACTCACCCCCACGGGCATGAGCCCTCGCCTTGAGCCTGGGGGACGTCCTGCTCCCCAGCAGCCCCCACCATGTCCCTCCATTTGCTGCACATGCTGGTATCCCTCAGACACCATCCCACAGCCCACCAAGCTGGGACAACACAGCCCCATGGCCCTGAGCTGTCAGCCAGTGTGAGGACAGGAGGGAAAAGCTATGGGTAAGGTCCCACAGCTAATTGCCCCCCCACACCCCCGGGAGCCCCCCCAGGCTGGGCCCAGACATCAGAGGATGCTGTGTCCAAGGGGCATCATGGGAATTTAAAACAGAGAGGGGTGCTGTGCGGGCTCCCAGCCTGCAAACGCCCTTCACACCTGCTTGGGAAATGTGAAAGGACACTTGGACCCCACCCTGGTGGTGGCATCAAGGGGTCCTGGCTGTTTCAGGGGGTGACTGGAAGGCTGCAATGGGTGCAGAGGCCGGAGGGTCCCTCTGAGTTGCTGCTTCTGAGTACCACGGAGCCATCCCAGGGCCAGCAGAAGAGCTGCTCCCAGCCACTGCGGGCAGCAGCATCCATCTCCATCCCTTCCCGAGGAGTGGGCATGCGGGTCTCACCCAGACCAGGGTGCTGCTCTCCCTCTCAGCCAAGGGCAAAGCCAGGGAGCCAGCGGGCAGCAGAGTCCCAAGCAAGTTTGTCCCCAGCAAGTTTCAGCTGAAGCAGCCCAGGCTCGCACTGTGCCCGTGCTGCAGTGAGCCGGGGTGCACCAAAGCCTGGTGACGCCCATGGCTGCTGTCAGCTCCAGGCTGAGCTCACACAGAGCCCAGGAGGGTGGTGAGAGCGGACATGGGGTGGGCAGAAAGAGGGTCCTGCACCCCCGGGTGCCAGCCAGAGACACAATAGCAGGCACGCAGCCAGTGCCATGGGGAAACCGGTGCACAAAGCCCACTGCCACCAGACCTCACTGTCGGGGAGGCTTCCTCCCCACCACGGCATGGGGACAGCACTCGGGGAGTGGTACCAGTACAGGGACACTGCATCCCACCAGTACAGGGACACTGCATCCCTGGGATGCACATCACCTCTTGGAACCCCTGAAAGCCCAAAACAACAAGGTCTGATGTTCAAGGCTCCCAAAGTAGGTCCAAGCCTGAATCCCGTGAGATGCCAAGGGGACCCTCACAGTGACACTGCCACAGGGGCAGTGGCACAACTGGCTCCTGGTAGGAAATGACTTTCGGGGTCAGCAAGCCAAAAACCCTGGCTCGGTGGTGCCCACCCAGCTGCCACAGAGGGAGAGGGCAAGAGGGAGCAGCTCAGCTTCACCAGGCTCTGAAACCCCATCCCAGTGACCGCCTGACCCCAGGCCAGGCCACTGCAAGCACTGGGCGGAGGAGGAGGAAGACAAAGTGTCATTGATAAGTGCAGCCATGTCCCCAGACACCCTGGGCAGGGGAAGGCTGCCAGACGCCACTGCTGACCCCAGGGAGATCCCCAGCCCGAACAGCCCTCACGCATGTCCCCATGGGACAGAAGATAATGCTGGGATAAGCCCAGCTGCCAGCAGCCCAGGACACTGGGGTACCAAGCCCTGCTCTTGCTGGGGGAACATTTGTCACCTCCAGCGAGGAGGTGGCCAGCAGCACAATGCCCCCATCCTGGTGGGAAATGCTTCTTCTGGGACCTGCAAGGGAGACAGGATCCACCCCCCGGGGGGACAGGGCCACCTCCACCCCATCACACACGGCTCCCATCCCTGCCAAGTCACTCAAGGGCAGTCCCAGTGCCCTAACTGGTGATGCTGGTGGCATGGAGGCATACAGCTCAGCAGCTCTATCCTCACCAGGAAGACCCCTGTGCCTGCAATCAGAGCTGGCACCAGGGGCCTCTCCAGCCCCCATCTCTCCTTCTCCCTGTGCCCTTCCAGCATCTCAGATCCTCTCATATCACCAGGCCCAGCCCGGGAAACGCTGTCGTCTCCTTCTATTCTTGCCCTGCAATAATATTTTCCCAGCTCAGAATAACATTGGCAAAGTCTTTGGGCTCCTTTCATTGCTCCGGGCGAGGCTTCCCCCTCTCCCCCAGCCTGACAAATTCTTCCTGTGCCTTGGGTTACACCAACTCGGGGCACCTTCCCTGGCTTCATCTCCCCAGGGAGCAGCACTCTGCCATGCTCCATCCATCCCCAGCACCCCTTTACCCTCAGAGTGGGGGTCCCAGAGAAGCCACCCCACAAGCAGAGCTGCAGCAGGACGGGGGTCCCTTGGTGGGGCCAGTGGTGAGCTCGGAGGGCACCGGGCTGTGCTGTGATGCTCCTGGGGCACACAGCAGCAAAATGCTCTTTCCCCTCTTGCACGAGCCACTGCTGGAAGTCACAGCAGAAGGAAAAGTGACTTGAAAAGCAGCTTGAAGTGAGAGGGAGAGCTGAGGACATGACGCCTTCCCCTGTGGCCCCCCCAAACCTCACCCCACAGCCAGAGCCACCAGCCACGCACAGCCCAAGCCAAGGAGTTAAGCATGAGCAGCTTCAGCTCGCCCCGGTTTTCACTTTAGAGCCTTCTAATGGTTTTAATTGAAATTTTCTTTTTCTTTTTCTGCCCCCCAGGGAGAAGGCGGTGGCAGAATTTGTTTCATGGGAAGTTTCAGTTTTCTGTTTCCAATTTGGAAGAGGAACAGAATAATCAGCTTAAGAAGGAAAAAAAAAAAGCTTCAAAAGGTTGTTGGCTCCCCGTGGGAGGCCAAGGAGCCCACCCGGCCCCGGGGAGCCCCTGGTACCTGGGCAATGGCATGGCTGGACATCGGGCTGGAGAGGATCAGATGCTGACCTGAGCCCTAGGGCCAAGCTCTGCAGTACCCCAAAACCCCAGCCCTGCTGCCAAGCCCAACCTGAGGGCACTGATCCCAGCACAGGGCAGAGCCGGGAGCCATCCCAGGGTCAGCTGGGCCACTGTGTGCCTCAGTTTCCCCCTTTCAACAGCGAGGGAGCCCCTGGGGCCACCTGCTCTGCCCCAGGACAGAGCCAGGGACCCAGCCAGCCAGTGCCCCAGGGCCAGTGGGGACTCCCAACCTGGGCAACACAAGGGCAGATGGGGGACCCTGGCACAGGGACACGCTCCACAGCTCCCGGGGCTCTCCAAGAGCTGGGCTGCCCCACATCTTTCCTCTCCTTGGGCAGAGGGAAGACATGCATCATGCAGTTTATTTTATTTTCATTTTTCTCGAGCAGGTTCATTGCTTTTAGGCAAGAAGGAGGAGATCGAGGTGCTCTGGACTCCTCTGCCAAGCT